CCGGGTATGTTGAGACTTTCTGATGATATTGTGTGGAATACTGCTAACGAGGGCTTAGGCAAAATCTCGAAGCCTCAGGATGAGATCTTCACATTCCAGTGAATAGTCTGTTCGGTCTGTTATGGAGGTGGGGGGTGTGGGACGGTTGTCGCAGCAGTATTGTTGGAGTACTCGGGCTAGACTGGGCCTTGATTTGGGCCTGTTCAATAAACATCTTTCATAATCTATCGCAAATGTCAACGTTTCCGAAATGAACTTTACCATCAACGCACCCTTCACTTTCCAACTTCCGCGCGCGCATCCTCACAATCGTCATAGTCACACATTGACCAACAACCCAAGTTCGCGCAGCTTGCATGCAGTTCGGCCGACATACCACCGCCCAACGTCTCGCACGCCCCAAGGCCCATCTCGCACGACACGAAAAAACACCGTACGAATGACGTCGCCACCCGAGCGGCACTGCACGGATGTCTACCGAGCTGTTGGGCAGTGACGCAACACCTACATGCATCTAGTCTGCATTAGCGTCAACCAATGGTATACAACATGCATCTAGACGCGTTTGAGAAAGTCGCGGTATCAGCGATAGCCCAGCAGCAGCAGTTATCGTCTGAACTAACACATCACTACAATAACGAAAAATGTCTCTTTGCGCAAGACGACTGACAAGAGGCGTTCGGCGCATCTCGGCCGAGCCCTCTGCGAGCTATGCGACGACGCGATGTTTGAGCACGCGTATAACTACGCGGGGACTCAAAGTGAGGAGTGTCAACACAGTTTTCCGCACTCGATCAACACCTTTGTCATACTCAATCATGTCGAATACGCAAACACGAGCTGCATCCAGCAGCACACAACCGCAATGGACGGCACCGGACACATCATCTCGACCAGTCGCCGTTCTGGGCGGAGGAGTCCTCGGTCGACGAATCGCCGCTTCATGGGTCGCCGCCGGCTATGAAGTCGTGTTGTGCGATCTCAGCGACGAGCAGAGGAACGCCGCGACACACTACATCGAACACCACATGGACGAGTTCTCGAAACTTACCGGCAACGCACGGAAACCAACGCAATTTAACACTGTCAAAGACATCGCAGAGGCGGTCAAGAACGCGTGGTTAGTGGTTGAAGCGCTGCCAGAGAAGCTTCCGTTGAAGATCGACATCATGGGCCAGCTCCAACAACAAGCACCGAAGGATTGTATCCTCGCTTCCAACTCTTCGTCGTACAAGTCGCGGTTCATGCTCGATAAGGTGGACGCGGGTAGTCGGCATCGCGTTTGCAATATGCATTACTACATGCCTCCGGGCAACAACGTTGTCGAGCTCATGACGTGCGGTGAGACGCATGCAGACATTCTGCCGTTTCTGCAAAGCAAACTCCATGATGCGGGCATGACTCCGGCTATCGCGCGCAAGGAGTCGACCGGTTTCATCTTCAACCGACTTTGGGCTGCCATTAAGAGGGAGAGTTTGCTTATCATGGCGGAGGGTGTTTCGGAGCCGGAGGAGATCGACAGGCTCTTCTTGACTATGTTCAAAGACAACCCGGTTGGCCCTTGCGGGATGATGGATGCGGTAGGATTGGATACCGTTGCGTTCATCGAGAACAACTATGTTGAAGAGCGCGGCGGCGACCCTACAGCACGAGACTGGGTTCAGAAGAACTTTGTCGAGAAGGGCAAGCTCGGCGCGAAGTCTGGCAAAGGCGGTCTGTATCCCGCTGGTGAGACGACGCGAAGCTCCAAGGATGAGAGCGGTCATCACGACAATCTCGCGGCGCCTAGACTGTACTTCCTTGACATTGGCATCGGGGGTAATGTTCCCGACCTGCAGAAGATGGCTACCTCTGGCAAGATCATGACTGCTTCAGCGGATGGAAGTAACGTGCGCGAGGTCGTCGGTGGCCAAGCCATGCCAGACGGTATCGATGTGTCCATCTCAGCTGGTCGCATCTTCTGGACGAACATGGGCGCTTCTCCCGCCAAGAACAACGGCAGTGTCATGTCCGCGAACCTCGATGGCACCGACGTTCGACCCATCATTCCGGAAGGCCAGATCCACACACCCAAGCAGCTCAAGATCGACCACGAGAACAAGAAGCTGTACATTTGCGACAGGGAAGGCCTGCGCGTCCATCGATGTGACTTTGACGGCAGCAACCACGAGATCATCGTGCAGACTGGCGACTCCAGCTCAGCGGAAGGAGAAGACCAGACAAACTGGTGTGTTGGTATCGCAGTCGATCCTCAGGGCGGGAAGTTCTACTGGTCTCAGAAGGGCCCGTCAAAGGGCGGCAAGGGCCGCATCTTCCGCGCAAACATGCAGATGCCTGCCAACGAGACAGCATCATCCCGCTCCGACATTGAACTGCTTTTCGATCACCTGCCCGAGCCCATCGATCTAGAGTTCGAAGCTGAGAGCCAAACGCTGTACTGGACCGACCGCGGCGAATATCCACTAGGCAACACGCTGAACAAGGCGTATGTAGGTGCCGAGACGAAGGAGGAACAAGGTGTTGTAACGCTAGCGAGGCATTTCCACGAGCCGATTGGATTGAAGATTGACGAGGTGAACCGGCACGTCTACTTGACTGACCTAGGTGGTACTGTGTATAGGTTCGACATGAACGGAGGGAGGAAGAAGAAGATTTATGAGACGGACAGCGCGTACTCTGGTATCGCACTTGCGCACCTGCACTGAACGTAAATATGGCCTTGTTGTTAGCATCAGTAATGTAATCGTGAAGATGAAATTGAGGCGACCGCAGTGATGAGATGATGAGACGATGATGTCGGTGTCTGAGCGAAGAGCATTCGCCGACGCACCCTCAGCCCTCGGCATCCAAAATCCACCGAGGGTCCAAGCTTCTCAACACCAAAACATTCCGACCACCCCACGCGACAATTGCGCTGCGACAGCCGTCCCTCTCCTCCCACTCCACCCAGGGTGCAGACCCCAATTTCTTCACTGCACCATCGCGCAATATCTACCGCCACGATGAACACCATCTCGAAACCCCCAACAATAAAACGCATCTCAGGCCCCAAGCGCTTCCTCGGCGTCCTCGTCGGCATAACGGGCGGCCTCTCCGCCAACGTCCTCCTCGCCTACAGTGTCTCCTCCTTCTACACGCGCAACACAAAATTCGTGCCCTACGACACCTCCTCCCCCGACCTCACCACCTCCGTCTTCCGCGCGCACAACCCGAATGGCAACCCGCCCGGCTGCATAGACCATGCGATAAAGCAGATTCCGTATGGAAAGCTGCCGGAGAAGTACTGGGTCAAGGGCGATGGGGGCAGGATATCCGTTGATCAGCCGGCTTTGACGACGGATTTCTGCCGGGGGGTTTGGAGTGGGGTTGCGTTTAGGGTGCAGAGGAGGTTGTTGGAGAAGTGGTATCGGAATGTGGAGGGTAGGGATAGCCATCTTTGGGATGTGAAGGAGTTGGCTAAGAGCGAGTACAAGGTTGGGACGAAGATTGTGGATCACTTTGAGGTTGTGGAGCATAAGGATGATAAGGTGAGATCGTGTCTTTTATTGGAAAGAATGCTAGCTGACTCAAGTTTCTTTATAGGTTATTGTGAGATGCGGCGACTCTCCACACGTTTCTGAACCCCGACCCTCGGATGGACTCTTCTCTATGGAGGTCTCCAAAGACGATGCTGCGCAGATGGCTACCTTCCACCTGAAGTCAGTCTTTGTAGATACGACACCAGAGGGCAAGGACGCTGGACCGCAACCTGGGCATATTCAGTGGCTGCATAGGCTGTACACTAAGCTCTGGATGGAGAGTGCGACGCGCAAGTTGATCAAGGAGGCATAGACATGATACCATCGCAATGCAAACTATTCTGGTTACGAAGTACGGTCGAACAGTACAGGACATACTACAGTTCCAGCACTTACCTCTCACATCGATGCGCGACCCTAGGCTTTTTGCGCATGGAATTGGTAAGGATTGGAGACGCTGTGTACGTTGTATGATGAACGACCAACACGCGAGCGATCGGCGTGCGGAGCTCGCCCCGCCTGTTCGGTCGTAGTTCCTGAGCAGCGCAAAAGCAAATCCAATGTTAGCTTAAGCCAAACGCGGGGATCACTCATCGTGACATACGTCAGCGGATCGGCGCGCGTCGAATAGCCGGTACTCATGCGTTCCAATCATGATGGTCCGGAGAACTGCTTCATAGCACCATACTTGAAATTCTTAACTTCGCACGCGGTTTCATTCTGTCGCTCTTCTACTTCTTCTAAACCACAACCGCTGACTTCCATATCCTCGCACCAACATCACCTCAAAACCAACACTATCTCCAACTCCCCACCCCCCCTCAACATGGGCGTCATGACCGCAACCTCCTCAACAATCTTCAACTACCCACCCGAAATAATCTACGACTTCGTCTCCAACCCCTCAAACTGGGGCCGCACCTACGCCGGCAGCTCCGGGCTGCCCCCAGGCCAAAACCTGTCTCTCCCCCTCAAAGTCGGCGACGTCTGGACCGAAAAAGTCGCTTTGCCCAATAATACCTACCACCCACAATGGGTTTTGGAAATCGCGGATCGTGGTCGCAAATTCGCATTTCGCCAGGTCAACAATATCGCTGCGGGGGAGGATGGAAGTGGTGGTGTAAAGGGGTATTGTTGGATCACGTATACGTTTGCGAAGGCTGGGGTTGGGTTAACGCTGTTCACGCGGAATTTGACGTGTGAGCTTGAGAAGGGGGTGGATGTGCCGGAGGATCTTTGGGTGGCGATGAGCAGGCCGAGTGGGATTGATAGGTATCATGAGAAGATTAAGGGGTTGCTTGATGAGGAGATGGGTAAATATAAGATTTTGTAGGCTTAGAGTGGGGATGATGTTGAGGGGGATGATGCTTGGGGATGAGGGGAATTGAGGGAAGGTGTGTAGTGGTGGGACTGGGATTGTGTGGTATATGCGGGGTAAGAATCGATACCATGCAGATGGACGTAACTGTACTATCACCTAATTTACACTTTCTGCTCCGCCATCCATTTCTCAGCCTCCTCCTTGTACTCCTCCCTCCATCGAGTCAAAGGCGGCCTCTCATTCACGATATCCCCAACACTCCACAACATGCGCTTCTTGTCCGTCTCCTCCGTGACCTGGTCGTCAGGACAGATGATGTAGAATTTCTTGTCCTGCATCTTGGCGTACATGTAGTCTGCTACTTGGTCCGCTGACCACGCACCATCCGGTTTGGCCTTGGTGGAGCCTGGCTCGTTCCCAGACTGGGTTCTGTTAGTATTGTGAATACCAATAATAGAAGAGCGACTTACAAGCCCTGTAAACGTCCAACCTGGAACCAACAGATGCACCCCAACATCAGTGTCCTTGAGATCATAGCTCAAATGCTCAGCCAGCGTCTTCACAGCCGCTTTACTCGCATTATACGCAGGATTGCCAGGCGGATTCGTGATACCCTGTTTACTCCCCGTAATCACAATCGCACTCTTCCCCTCTGCGTTTTTCCCCGCCCTCTCCTTGAAAGCCGGAACATAGGCATTCAACCCATTCACCACACCTCCCAGATTCGTAGCGAGGATCTTATCAAAGTAATCTTCATCGCCCCACGTTCCTTTTCCGCCGATGCCGGCGTTTAGCATCAGAAAGTCAACGTCGGTGCCGACTTGTTCGCGGATGGACGACCAGTCTGAGCGAGACGAGACATCTGCTTGGATGCATTTTACATCACCGGAGAGGTTTTTGCGCGCGATTTCGAGAGAGGATTGATTGAAGTCGACGATGGAGACGCGCATGGAGTGTTTGAGGCAGAGTTGGGCGACGGCGTAGCCGACGCCGGATGCGCCGCCTGTTATTAGGGCGTGGGCGGAGGGGCGGAATACGGACATTTTGAGTGCTTGAAGATGATTGTTCACGAGAAGTGGAAGGAGAGGAGGTCGTGATGTTTTCTTTGGGGATGCCGAGGTGATGTCATGCGGGGTTACGTTATCTCCGAGGCGGAGCTAGACGATAACCAATTCACTCTCCTTCGTCTGAGACAACGCAAGTCCCCGTCCGCTGACGATTCCGACCCTCTCATAACACTCACTGTGCGTCTTTGACTTGACCAACGTGAGACAGGCAACCCGTTGCTCGGAGCTCGTGTCATAGGACCAGGTCTCTATGACCAATAGCACCACACTTACAACAGTCTCCATCAGCTCAATATCACTCGTCATGTCGAGCTTTGCTGCCTTCTCTAGTGCCTCAGAGTGCTGGTTCTTCAGGAAGACATCGTAGCGTGTGGCTTCGGATACACGATCTGTGCGCATCAGGGTCGCTCCTATTGTCGGCCCGGATATTGTCAATCGCCCATCTCGAACGTGTCCGTAAGGATTTGCGGTCTGTGGTGTACATGTCACATCTATCACCCGACAGACAAATACTGTAGACTTGGCCACTGGATTCTTTTCTCTTAGAGCGACGGCTGTAAGTGTCGACGCCCAAGACCACGTGGGCGCCGCGTATTGCAAAGGTCTTGGAAGTACCCATGGACGGTCGATCACTCCGCCTACAGTCTCCCACAAGAGCGCTTCAGGGAGTTGGAATTCCCACAGACCGGCTAGATATCTGCCCATCGATGGCAGCGCAATTTCTTTAGCGATACCAGAGATACCAGGGAGTCGATCGGTGCCGAACGTTAATGCCCGCTGAGAATACTCTCTGACGACCTTGTCCCATGAGCTGGCACGTATCTCAGGGTCCGTCGATGCCAGTGCTGCGGCGTAAGAAAGCTTGAACGTATCCAGTCTTGATGTCAATGGGTTGTCGAAATCGACTCTTGCTGATGGGTCGTCGAATCTGATGGTTTGACATTCACACCAAAGTTGTTCTTGACACTCCCACATCATCTCGTGATCGGTATAGTGGAGTATTCGGGACGCAAGCAGTCGCTCTTGAAAGCACCACGCTCGATCCAGAAGAGGCATGGTTGTACTCTCTGCTTGCCACTCAATGATTGTGCGGTGGCTAATCTGTCGTTGTACATGAAAACTACCGTTGGGTGGGCCGATGAGGTCGTGACTTGGATCCCTGGGGCGAAGACAACCATCGTCACCGTTCTTCGAGCTTGTCGCAGCAACGACCAGATAGGCATACTTGTAGACTGATGCCATACGGGCGGCCTCTTTTGCCCAGTCCTCACCATCGTCCTGTACAATGCACAATGAGTCGATCCAAACATATGGAATGCCGATGTTTCTGGTAATCGTGATAGCATCCTGGAACGTCTGAGTGAGCTCATCCCAAGGTATGCCGAGCACCCGAGCAGATAAATTTCCTTTCAAGAGTAACGGCATAGCTTTCCTACGCTCTTCTTTCACGCCCCATGTGTGGCTTAAAGCAACATATCGGGCGCCCGCTGGCATTTTACTTGAGTGGCACAGTTTGATGTCGTTTGAAGATGACCCGACCCAGATGAGCCTCGTTGGTGGGGTTGAGATATCTTCTTTGGAGAAGCATTTGGGGTGTAGAGTGTCGCATTGTCTGATCCATTCTCTCACTGTGCTAAAACATGCTTGAGAGGTAGGGTTAGAGGGAATATGCCCTGCTGGCTGAATATCTGAAAAGGCAGGTGGCTTCTCTGAAGAAGGTAAGTGAATGACGTAGGCGCCGTATCTCTTGTAGTGTTAAACAAACCGGAGTGATTGTAGAAATACAACTCCATGGGCAAGCTCCCTGACTTAGATGCCATGCCTGTATATTGTACCAACACCCGTAGAGGTAGCTCTGGATCGTTGCGGACGTGAACCCTGAGACCCGGATCGGGCTCGTACTCACTGAGCGTGGCTTCGGTGGTTCGATGAGGGCGGTAAGGAAGAAAGGTGTACTTCTCAATGCCATCAAGAAGTAGTTTGCATCTAATGCAGCCATCGTGTGCAGACTTGCGCATGCCTGACAGAGTGTTACCCCCCTGATGCAAGCCATAACTCCAGCCGCAGGTGTCAGGTTCTGCCTGATCTGACCACAAGGGCGCGCGAGGTAGCGTCGGAGTCATGTCGCGGTCAAAAAGCCGGAGTATCCGTGAGACGTGGTGTATAGTGTTTGAAGCGGGGGCATACGTCGTGGTGGGGTTAATGCGCCTGCACTCTGCAAAAGAAGGCAGGCGCGATTGGAATCTGACAGCAAACGAGACGATCAGGCATAGCTAGCTTACGTACGTCGAAGATGAGTAAGCGAGGATTTCTTGATTTACAACTCCCACGAGCCACCGCCTTTGATTGTGCAGCGCGTTGTACGATTTTGTGCGATATGTCTTGTGAAAAGATTGCGCCTTCGGGTCTGGCAGGCAAGAGCTACCCCGTAGCCTGGAGCTATACACTGTCTTACGTCTACTCACTGCATCGATACCAGATACCGCGAAGACCTCTCAGGTCAATTATGAACGACACCTTCAATGAGATAGAGGCCTTTGTATGCGTCAAGACAGATCTCTTCCAAGGTTGATGAGCTTCCGGGTGTGTCATGAGCACGCTACGTCATGCATGATTGCGTCATCGCCTCACCAACCCCGAGCCCGAGCAACCAACACCATTGCTCATCCACATCACTCCTCGATGAATCTCATCGTGATTGCCGCTACCACACATTCGCTCATACAATGCGAGATGATGCCAGTTTCTACGCTCCCCCACACGCCATTGCGCACCTCTTCACTAACAAGCACGAAGCTGCTCAAACTCCATCTCGCCCTCGTAAGGCTGCAAATAGTTATCTGCTAACCACTCGTGCGTCCCCTCAACCACGCCAAAGTTGAATGCGACACGGCTCTTGCTACTCTTGTTGGCTTCACTAGTATGCACAAGATTTTCATGCATTAGGATCAATGTCCCGGCCTTGACCTCGAGCTGCTCGAATACCAGATCTCCGGTATCATTTTTCTGCGGGATCGGGATTTCCGTCGATACACCATCTACAGTAGCATGTACGGGCTCGTCTAGTTCCACAAACTCAGGCAGCCCATTCTTATCCCGACGACACCGTGGTGTAAGAGGCCGCGACCTATGACTACCTGGTGCAACAGCCAAGCATCCGTTGGCGGTGGTTGCATCTTCGAGGGCATACCAGAAAGTCGTGCAACTGGGCGGATTAGTAAAGCCTGAGCAGCCGTCCTGGTGCGGCACGACTTTCGCGCCGACTTGGGCTGCTTTGACGATGACAAGGCTCTGTACGACTCCGGGTTGCAAGGCCACTAAGGACACTCGCGATTAGTCTGGCTCATTGACGGCTGCACGGAGAGTCTTACGTTTGGATGGTACTGCCAGCACGCGGCCCACGGGAGAGACATAATGATCTTGACCTGCGTCGTACGTGTGCGACTTGACACGCTTGTCATCGGCATTGGCAAGGATGTCCGCGATCTCGTGAACGCTGCGGAGAAGCTCGGCTACGCAATCTCTGGACAGCGCATCTGGCAAAACAAGATAGCCTTCGTCTCGTCAGAACTGGAGCTTCTCCTTGTTTAGCCCGCCACAATGCAACTGCGATGAGAGATCTCGTAGTTTCAGCACTGGACTGGCCGTTTGCGGTTGTGATATAAGTTCCTGCACCGGCAGATTTGAGCTCAGCAAACCAGGCATGGCTTGTGCTTGCAATGTTGGTCTTGGGTCTAGTGTATCGGGCGCTGGTTGAATGGCTGCTGGCTGAGCGGCAGCGTTGTTGTTGTTATTCCCCATCAAAAGTGCGAGTAATAGCGGACCGTCATCTTCTTCCTCCGTCTGCGATGATACGAGTTCCTGCACCATCAGCTTTGAACTCAACAAACCTGGAATGGCTTGTCTATCTGTAACTTGCGCTTGTGATGCCGATCTGGGGTCCAGTGTATCAGGCACTAGTTGAGGCTGATTGGCTCCTTTCTGAGCGGCATCGTTGAGAGTGTTATTCCCCATCAAGAGCGCGAGAAACAGCGGACCGTCATGTTCTTCTTCGTTGAGAAAGTCCTGTCTCGGGTTAGGGATGTCGAGTGCCAATGACTTGACGCCGTTGAAGCTTCCCTCGAAGAAGCCGTCGTCTCGGTTTGTTGGTTCTGAAGCGAGTAACGAAAGCCCTTCATTGCCTTCTTGGTGAACTGGTGTATCTAGCATTGCAGGAAGCAAGTTTTGGGATCGTGTTTGATCACAGCTGGGGCTTAACAAGTTGTGAAGGATCACGTTAAAGTTGCAACAGAGCGACGAGAGGTGGATTTTTAAAATGAAATTTCATGACACAGAACTAGAGATATAGGTTCGCGGATCTTCTTTCCTTCGGCACTCTGCCTAGATTATAGAAAATCTACTACCGAGCATCTCCGTGCAGGTCGTATATCTTACATACACTACAACGCTACCTTCTCTACTTCTGTTCTTATTATAGCCTATAGTTAACTACTATAGCCGCTACTAAGATGTAGAGCAAATGCAGCTAGAATATACTCTCCGCGATCTAACCTCTTATAGGCAGATATAATAGCTATTAAATTACAAAATGCGCAGAATAACTAGTATAAAACTCTATAACCTAGTATAACTAAGGCGTATTCTTCTCTAATATTAATATTTAGTACAACTAACTATAGTATTCTTCTTACTATTATAGGCTTCTAAAAGATTTCTCTAAAGATACCTCTCTACTACTCTATCTATATCTAGTACTATAAAAAGTATACTAACTATAATCTTATTATCTACTATCTAGAGAACTATATTCTTATATATAAAAGTAGAAAGCTAGAAGTAATAATAGAATTCTACTACTCTACTAACTTTGTCTACTTAGACTTTAGTTTATACTACTATATCTAATACTTCTCTATACTTTATATATACACTAATCTACTATATAAGATATATTTTATTTATAAATAATATTCTACGCTAAAGTTAAAGAAACGTATAATAAAACTTTTTCTAATTTCTATAATCTAGATATTAAATTACTATTAGTATATAGATATAAAGACTTTATAGTATAGAAACTACTACTACTATATTTATTCTAGCTTATTCTAATCTTAATATTTAAGTATATAAGCTATTTTTTTTTTTATAAAGTAAAACTATAGTTTAGTTAATAGTATCTTAAGTATATATCTTTATAAACTATAAAGCTTTTTTAGCTATATTATAGTTATATAAGTAGTAGCTAGTATAAAAGTAATATACTAAACTAATTTTTTTTTTATTATATTACTTTAATTATAACTTTTACTAATTATACTATTTTACTAATTAATAATAATATTACTAATAGTGCTATAATAAACTAGCTATTAACTTTAGTAAAGCTAAAAAAAATTAAGTAGCTAATACTTACTTATAATTAACTTAAACTTAGCTTAACTTAAAAAAATAAAGTTATACTTATATATATTTATACTAAAGTATAAAGTAGCTTTTAAAAAAGTATATACTAACTTAAAAGCTACTTACTAAGCTAATAGTATAGCTTTTTATAACTTATATTACTTTACTATTTTTTAAGTATACTTAAAAAAACTTAAAAAAGTTAAAAATAAACTTAATAAAAGTTTAAGTAACTATAAAAAGTAATATACTAACTTTAGTAGTATATTAGCTATATACTAAAGACTTTATAATTTAGTAAAAAAAAAAATAGTAGTAAAAATATAACTATAAGTACTTTTATATAACTAGGTTCTAGCTCTTAGCTAAAATAGAGTATAGTATAGAAATAGCAGATTACGTGTAAACTAGCTGTAGATTTTAAGACAAGGGTTAAGATTAATATAGAGAGTGCTAAGAAGAAGAAGTTAGTAGGCTGTACGTTAATGTAGTAGAAGGAGGAGAAGATTATCTAGAATTATAATTATGTGCAGCAGAAGGCTGTAGAAGAGAGGTAAGTAGACGCGGGTTAGAGGGTTTGCCGTAGAGGGAAGATGTGTTAGGTAAACTTAGGGAGGAGGTAGTTAGGGTAGTTTCTTACAGGTTTAAAAAATACGCTAGGTCGTATATATCTTCACAACACGCGTTCGTTCGTTTGCGTAACATACTGTGCCGCCTCGTACGAGGTACAAAGTGCACCGGTACGCTGCCGTATACAATGGTATCAAGACAAGATCTGGTAGAACCGCCAAGACGATGTAGCCTTCTCGTAGGTAGATGTTCAACTTCTTCTTTCTACAGGTTGATCTTCTACATGTGCATGCGATAAAATGTGTACGTTTGTATTAAGATTACTTACAGTAAGGAAAATTGGGTATCTACAGTAATTTTACTTCGCCTTCCCCACCCTCAATCTTTTGACAACTCTCCACCCAACCGCAACCATCACACCTTCCCACCACCATCACCAGCAGCGCCCATACCCAACCCATCCATCGCAGTCTCAAACCTCTCAACCCCCGGCCTCTCCACCTTCTCCTCCACCACCCCATCACTAAACAGCCCCGCCCCAGCCCCAGCCCCAGCAGTAAACCACCGCTCAACACCCGGTCTCTCCTCTTTCAGCACCCGCTCATTCACACTCTCACTCTCACCCCCCGGCACCATACTACTCTCACCCCCCGTCACCAAGCTCCCCAATCCCTTCTCCCCCTCCTCCCCCTCAACAGCCGGCGGCGTAGTAACATTCAAACTCGCAAGCGTAAGCGTACTAGCATTAACATCCCTCCCATCCGGGCCATCAACTTTCAAACTAAACGGATACGCGATACCGCCAGCCGTGGGTCGGGTAGTCAAAGTATCCGTTTCGGGGATGATGGTGCTGGAGTTGTCGGGGTTGTCCGAGACGATTATGTTGGGTGGAATACCCATACCCATACCGGGCTGACTGAGTTCGCTAGTGGGGGATGGAAGGGGGGAGGCAGAGCGTTCAGGGGCGAGAGTTGTTGCGTCTGCGAGGCCAGGGGACGGAAGGACGATTCTGGAGAGGTCGTCCATGGGGAGGCCGGTTTGGCCTTTGTCGGTTACGGCGGAGTGGCGGGAGTGGGAGCGTGAGCGTTTTATGCCGGGGGCAGTGAGGTTGTTGGCGCGGCTGCGGGTTGGCGCGCTTTCTGTTGTGCCGTCGGTGGTTGTGTTGGCTGGGTCTTGGGTGGAAGTTGAGGCTTCGGTGTCGGGGTTCTGGTCTGCCTTTTCTTCGCGGACAATCTGAGGCGTGTTAGTAACGTTGTCATGGCTGACGTTGAGAGTGAGTGCACTTACAGTAGCTGAGTCATGCTTACTGCCCCATCCAGCCCACATCGACATACCCCAACTCCTCTTCTTTGCCTTCTCGGCCTTCATGCCTTTGATCCTTCTACCAGCCAAGGCAGTCGGTGGTGGCGTCTCTCCCTCGAACCCTTCGAAGCCTTTCTGCATATCCTTAATACGCTGCTTCTGGATCTTGATCTTCTGCTTGGAGAACTTGTTGTTCCACTGAGATTGCGCTTTCATCCATTTGCTGACGGGTCCTGTCTTTGGCACGCCCACATCAACGCTAGGGATGTTCAGTGCAACTAGCTCCTCCTTTGGAGCAAGTGCATAGATGCGCCCGTGTCGATCGATGCGCTGGCGGATCATGTGGCGCTCGAATGGCGGAATTGCATCACCAGCTCGGCCAACGCGTGCATCTTGAGCGGCTTTCTTCTCGGCTTTGGTAGGTTTGGGGTGCTTGTTTGATGATTTGGGGTCGTCGGACGAAGAACCGGAGCCAGCCTTGTCAGATTCAGACGAAGTGCCTGAATCACTGCTCATAAAGGAGATGTCGTCATCGTCGAGGATGTCGATGGACTTCTTTTGAGCGCGTGCAAGCGCCCAAGCACCGAACTGGGCTATACTACGGTACATGTGCTTTGCCGGGCGGGTGAAGCTGAGCGTGGGCGCAACGTGACAAAGATCATCCCAGACCTGGAGCTGAACGTTTGTAGGCCTGTAGCTGGCGGCTTGAGCTTGTATGGATTCGGCGGTCTGGTTGTTGGAAGGTGGTGGTATGTAGGCTAGCGGTTGCGCGGCTTTGTGCGCGAGGTAGATCTGCTCGTCTCTGAGGAGCTCACCACCACCCGTTTGAATGAGTAGAGGCGGAAGCCCTCCGAGTGTTGGCTGAAGCACCGGCGATACCAGAGGATGTGTCAAGAGATGATTCGGGGCGTACATCTGAATCTGGTCCTTGATCTCGACGCGTTCATCTTCGAGCTGAACTGATAGCTGGCTCTTGGGTCCAATGCTGTATTTGCCATTGGACGAGATCCAGGTGCCCATGCCTTGTCCCGTAGCTGATGGATCCGCGACCTCTTCTAGGGGTGGTCGATCTCCAGATTGGACGGAGTAGCCTCGTACGCGCTCAGCTTCTGCCTCCTTCTTTGCTGCCTTGTCCTCCGTTTTGTCTGAACTGTTCTTCTTCTTGGTCGAGCCCTTGAGGGTTGTTTCGATGTCCAGCATATCGTCAGCGTTGGGAGGTGCTGTGTGTGGTCAGTAGTAGCTCGTCGACACGGACACGACCAACTTACGCCAGCTCATGCTCGGCTTGTGGATGAAACCGTGCGAGGGTATGTAGTCCATCTTGCCATCTCCTCCCAGACTGGGGAAGCTGTGTGTCAAATCTACCCATGGACTTATCAAGATGGCTCCTGCAGGCAAAGGTATGCCTTGGTCGCGCATTGTCACAAGCATGCTGAGTACCATGCCGCCACCTGCCGAGTCGCCAGCAAGTATAATCGTCGTAGGGTCGTGCTTCTGTTCGAGAAGATAGAGGTAGGCGGCCAGACCTGGAGGCGTTAGTATTGCTTCTCCGACATCTAGCAAACCACTTACAGTCATGCAGACCACATGGGAAGGGGAACTGAGGCGCGAGTCTGTATTTGGGCGCCAGCACCCTAGCCTTGAGCTTGCGCGCATGCCGCTGCATCTGATAGCGATGCTCGTCGACGCTGCCAAAGAAGTATGCGCCGCCATGAACATAGAGCATTATGCGGTCGCCTTTGGTGATTGCCAGCTGCTTCCTCGCGTCGTAGTCTTTGCGCATCTCGATCCACTCGGCCTTGAGTGTTGTGCCTTCGCGTCTCCACTGCCACCAATTCGTTCCTCCGACTGCCTTGATGCCTTCCGGTCCCAATTGTGCATTGAGCAGTTCTGCTGAGCGCTGTAGTAGAGTCGCAGAAACCTCGACTACA